TCTCTCTCTCTCTCTCTCTCTCTCTCTCTCTCTCTCTCTCTCTCTCTCTCTCTCTTTGCTAGCAGCTCCCTTGGCTCCTCGCCAATCTATATAGATTTGCCACCTTTTCAGACCCTTTCAACCAAAGACCTGAAAGTTCATTTTGCAGTTCCTGTTCAGGCCTCATTTTGTAAGTGGAGAAATCAAGGAATATAAGAGCAGCTTTCAGTATCTGTGAGTTGGCCTCAAGTCTTGTCCTCTACACAGTTCAGCATTCCCTTTGCTCTAAACAATCTTGCCCAAAACGGAAACTGTGGCACAATTGCTTCCCAGCTTCCCCCTCCCGTTATGTTATCCGTAGGGCAATAGGACCCAGGGAGGCTCAACCCTGAGGCCAAGGCAGACACACCTGTCTAACCGCGTGGGTTGAGCTAGTGTGGGAACCAGTCACTTAGGGAGGGTGGGGTAGAAGTGGGTGACTACTCTTGAGAGAGAGGAAGACTGTGGTTCCCTCCTGATTTCAGGGGTCTTGGTGAGAAGTCATTTTAAGGAGTAGCCCAAGCCCCGTTTTTGTCGTGCCTCTCCCCACAAGGAGCATCCTTTGGCTGGTCTTCCTGGAACTCTCTGGCGGTTCCGCCCCCGCCATCCAGGTGCCTTAGTCCTGAAGCCACTGACCTCTTGCTGCTGGAACCGCGGGCCAGGCAATACCTGCCTCAGCAGACGGCGTCCAAGGATTTAGCGACATCTGCCTAGCCACGTTGACGGTCCGCATGTTGCGCCTTTCACTCACAGTTTGTCCGAGGAGGAGGAGCCCCTCCAGCGTTTTCTCAGTCTTGTAGTGTGCGCGCGCTCTGCTCTCTCCTCAGAGATTATGCTAGCTCGGGAACAGAAAGATGGCATTACTCCTGCCCCCAGCCTGGCTGTCTTGAGGGCGGTGCTTGGGGACTCCATGGAGCCATCCTTAGAACTCTTGAGTAGGCGCCGGCCTGAGAGCGCGTGGGTGAGCTGGCGAGAGAACAAGCTAATTAGCCAAATCCTACCTGTACCAGTAGCTAGGGTACACAGATGCTGAACTGAATCCCTCGGGGGACACTCAGGCTGCGCTCTCTCTTCTGCCCTGACTCATTTTCTGCTGACCTTAGAGGGCACGCATTGGCAGAATTCCTCACAAGGACCAACAGAGTGGCTACCCATTTGTCTGGGGGAGCTGCAAAAGGAGCCTCCAAGGAGACAGCTGCTCCCATGCTTCTTCACACACCTGCAATTGGACTCCAGACTTGGCACTGGAATGCTTGCCTTTATCTTGTTCAATTTTCTCAGCACAGATGTTGACAACTGGATTTGGGGGCCGATCAGCAGTCAAGTTCAAATTGGTACTCCTGCGTTCTCCATTCCAGACTGCAAGCATAACTGAGTCTAGAAGAGATAGGTCTCCTTACCGGCTGAAGTCTGGTCTGGAACTCAACTTGACAGAGCCAACCTGACTGGTACTTGGATTGCAGTGGCGACAGGGTTTTGAGGGGATGGCTTGGACGATGCTTTGAACACCACAGCACAACACTCAGAACCTCCACAATGGATAGAGTTTATGAAATTCCTGAGGAGCCAAACACAGATCCGGTTTCATCTGTAGAAGAAGATGTCATCCGAGGGGACAACCCCCGCTTTACCTTCCCATTTAGTATCCTCTTTTCCACCTTTTTGTACTGTGGGGAGGCTGCATCTGCCCTGTACATGGTTAGAATATATCGAAAGAATAATGAAACATTCTGGATGACATATACATTTTCTTTCTTTATGTTTTCATCTATTATGGTGCAGTTGACCCTCATTTTTGTCCACAGAGATCTGGCCAAGGATAGGCCACTATCATTATTTATGCATCTAATCCTTTTGGGACCTGTTATCAGGTGAGCACTTTTTTAAATCTCTCCCCACCTTCTCCAAACTTATGCAGAGAAAGGTGATGTTAATATTTACTAGACTGATACTATGCCTCTTGTCTAATTGATTCTCCAATTCACTCCCACTCTTGGCTTTCCTGTCACCTATCCAAAAGAACTTATTTGAAATTTTAAGTGCTACCAGGATGAATATGTGGCGTGTACCTGTGTTCCCAAACTGTGGAGGATACCATCAATAGGACTTCCTTAGGCAATGCATGCTGTCTGCTCCCTGATTTTTCTTTTAATAACTGGTAGGGAATCAACAGATGTGGTCAACCTGTGTACACAGGATATAGCTACAAAGTTAAGTTTTTTGCAGTTCTTGGGATTGAACCCAGGGCTTCAGGCATGCTAGGCACTGAGCTACACCCTATTCTGAGAGTGTGTAATTGTAACTCTGCCTTTTGGATATTCTTTAAATTGGAAGAAAATTCCTTCCTGTTTCCATCCCATCTCATATTCAGTTTTACTTTGAGCTCCTGGATGAAATCTGCTGCCGTCTTAAAAATTTCTAGTAATTTGACATCTGGAAAAAATTTTAAGACATCTGCAGTAATCTGGTACCCCAACAAAAAGTAGTTCATTGTTCTCTCCTATTTCTATCTTATAGCTCATCACTGTCCTGTTTTTCTTTTTGTATATTCCTGTGATTATGGCACATAGTTGGAAGGGGGCAAAGGGAGGTACTCCATCTATCTGGAAGCAGTACCACAGTGTAATAGATTCAAGTGTACCTAATGTTGCTTTGAAAGGATGAAAATCAAGGGCAACAGGCATCTGTATCAGCAGTCTCATCTGGAAACTATGCGGTTTTCAAGGTGGAGCAGTGTTGCAAGACTTGTGAGATCAGGAGGGAGTAATGGACCAAGTTTGTCATGATGCAAAGGTGACAAACACCTGCAGTTAGCTGAGGGCGATAGGTCAGAATGTTGATGTTGTAATTGCAATGGGAAAGCAACTCAACAGAGGATTATAAATGGGCTGTAAAACTGATTAAAGATGGAGCCCCCCTTTTGTAAAATTTTTAATCAGTAAATGTATATATATAATTTTTATTTCTTAATTATATCTCTATAAAGCTGGAAAAATTACAGAATAGTTTTAAATGGGAAAGAATTGGTTAAGGTTTCTCACAGAAAATATGCCTAACAAACACTGGTAGGGAATCAGGAGACTCGGAATCTAGTCCTCCCTCCATCATTGACTAGTTGTGTACCCTTAGTGAAATCTCCAGAAATGCCTTGGGACTCAAATCCTGCAACTGTAAATTAAATGAATTGGACTACATCATGAGGCTTAAACTCTAATGATGTCAGAGGCCAGGCAGGTATCATAAATGAGTGAAGTGGGCCAAGTATGGGAAAACCAGCAATGTCATATGTGATGATAAAAGAAAACAAAGTCTCAGTGTTAGAAAAAGGAAGAATAGTGAGTAGTATGGCAATTTAGAGTCCATGACCTGCCTATAGAGGACTCAGCTACTCTACAAATCTGGCCCATCATTTCCATGTTGGAATTTAGTCCCCGTATTGCCAGATCTCCTACCTTTTAGGATACTCTCCCAAGACAAGGTTTTACATGAAATTCCATTATTTTAAATTTTGGCAAATGACTAAAAACAATGCAGTAAGGGACAAACTACATCGACTAGTCAGATAGTGTCTCAGCTGGTCATATGCAGTCTTTTGACTTAGTGATCTAAGGGTCCTTTCCAGTTCTAAATGTTTGTAGTTAATCTATAAAAGGAAGCCCTCATCTTGAGCTTGAAACCAAGAAATTTTAAGATGTCACTAGAGGAACAAGGAACCCATTTCTCTCTCTTTTCAAATGTAATATAGTGAGTTAAAAGATCAAGATCAAGAACTCTCAAGATGCAAATTCTAGCAAGTGCCTTGCCCCTACTTTGATGCTTCTCTCTCTTTATGCTTTGTAGCCTTCCAAACCATCTTTGATCTAGACCCTTTATATGGAGTGTTGGTCACTGTTTTTTTTTTCTTGTATAGCTTCCACTAGAAATGATTGGGAAGCATTTATAACTTCAGTCATCTAGGCCCACAACAGGGAAAATGTAATTTAAAAACTCATAAATCATATGCTTTGTATGCTTATTTTTAAGGCCAATTTTTAGGAAAGTAAAAATTTTTAGGTAAGTAGGGTTGGTACTCTCAGTCATATGAAGGTGTTTATAGGGTTAGCTCTCTTCCATGAAATGCAACCATTCTTTTGGAAATGAAATTATACTCTTGGTTTATTGAAGCTTATAAAGAAGGCAAACACCTTCACATAAACCAGTGAACAGCCTTAAGAACAGATGCATAAGCAGAGCATTTCATGCTACTACCTCCCCCAATATAGAATTAGCAATAGCATGGATAGGCTATGGTTAAAATCTAAACTTTTTCTGTTGAAAGTGAAACATTCTTCTTAAATAGGAAAATAATCTTGCTTTCTCTTCTTTGTTAGTTCCTTCCTCCTTTTTCTCTCCCATGTTTTGGAGTTTGTCTTAGAAAGTGGAAGTTTCTAACACTTTGGAGTGTTACACATGAATCAATCTCAAGGAAATCTGGAGAATAATGGTGGTACATAGTCCAAAATTTTCTGTCAGGAGCCAAAACCTAGAAAGGATATAAATCTCTGAGCTTATCTTTAATCTATTTTTATGTTAAATCACATTGCTGTTATTATCTTCTTCCCATCAACTCTCACCCTGCATTCTTTTTTCCTTCTCATTCATTAATTTATTAAGCAAATATTTATCAAATTCCCACCATGTGATAGCAGATATGAGCAAGATATATATAACCCTTGCCCTCAACCTATTGGGGAAGACGTCTTAATTTCTACAATTGTCCTCACTTGTCATAAGAAACAGCCCAGAGTTTGCATTTATTTCAGGGTGAGTAGAGGAAGTGGTAACTCAGGTGTTCCAAAACAAGATGTTCTAGTTGCTTCTATTTAGAGCATCAAAACTACTAGAGACTTCTGATTATAAAGGGTAGATGGAAAAGGAACAGCAGAAAGTGTGGTCTTTTCACTATTTCAAAGGTGAAAAATTCCCACAAGGTTGTTTTCCTCTTTGTAAAGAATGAATCAGGTTTAAAAGGCCGTCTTCCAAAACAGGTCAAGAGGCACAAAAATGGGGCTTTCTTTAAAAAAAAAAGCAGAATTTGAAAACCCTGGTTATGAACTTGAATGTTTTGAATAAAGAATGCTTTACTATAAGACTTTACAGTGTTATAAAAACCAAGGCCATTTGGAGACTCCATCCTCCTCTTTGAATACAATATTCTCACAATACTTTTGTGTTCAAGGCATGTTAACGTGAATAGGGCATGACCAACCCTTTCACTCATAAGAAACCCCCAGAACAGAAGTGAGGAAATGGTAAAAAGTAGTATAACCTCCTCAAGTATTTCCCTCTTCACTATAACCTCCCTTCCCTCGACAGCTTTAGTTAAGCTCCCATAATGCTTTACTCCTGCAGATGTTTGGAGGCCATGATAAAGTACCTCACACTGTGGAAGAAAGAAGGGCAAGAGGAGCCCTATGTCAGCCTCACCCGCAAGAAGATGCTAATAAATGGCGAGGAGGTGCTGATAGAATGGGAGGTGGGCCACTCCATCCGGACGCTGGCTATGCATCGCAATGCCTACAAACGTATGTCACAGATCCAAGCCTTCCTGGGCTCAGTGCCCCAGTTGACCTATCAGCTGTATGTGACTCTGATCTCTGCAGAGGTCCCCCTGAGCAGAGGTGAGTGGGGTCAGGAGAGGGAGGTCTCCACTTAGATCAAGGGTGTAAGTTTATACCTGAGATGTCTAATCAACTGGCTTTGTGGAGCAATTTAAATAGAAATTTAAAAAATTAAAACATACTTCCTTAGTAGTACTTGCCACATCTCAAGTATTTAATAGCCACATAGAGTCAGTGGATACTGCTTTGGATGGCATAGATTTAGGACATTTTCTTTCTTCTTTTTTTTTTTTTTTTTGTACCGGGGATTGACCTCAGGTCCTTGTGTTTGCAAGGCAGGCCACCGAACCGCTGAGCTAAATCTCCGGCCCAGGACATTTTCATTATCATAGAAAGCTCTACTGCACAGCACTAGTAGAGATCCAAGAAATGTAGGGAGTCAGACATCTTAGGACTGCTGGATTTCTTAAACTGGAGTAAGCCATTTAGATTTAAAATATCATTTTAAGCCCTCTCTGACCACATAAGAAGCTAGTAACCCAGTAAGAAAAATATTTTCCCTTGCCCAGAGTGTTTAAATTATGTTAGTTGTTCTGCTTGTTTAGGAAAGGCTATCTTCAAAGAAGTTCACAAATATTACTGATTATCAGAATCATGTGTTAATGTTCTTTTAAAAATTATATTCCACAGCTTGGAATGATGACACACACCTGTAATTGTAGCACTTGAGAGGCTTAGGTAGGTGGATCATCATGAGCTCAAGGCCACCTTGTGCTATGCAGTGATTTCAAGGGCACCCTGAACTATATAGGCACTGTCTCAAAACCAAAATGAAACAAAATGAGTGAGTGAATAAATGAATAAAGAAAGAAAATTATATTCCTTCCCCAGACATGAATCAAGCCCACAGTATGGGGAGGAAGGAAAATGCATATAGAAAAAATACCCCAGTTGATTCTGATCAGCCTCATTTTGGAATCATTGCTTTAATCATTTCTCACAGTGTCAGTGAAAAGAAAAAAAGGGACTTGAGATGAATACTTTTTAATTATATTTTAATTTTTATTGGTATATATTTGCAATACATAATATGTACATTTGTTGTGGGGAGTTAGTACCTGTACATAACACATCTTATTTCTTTTTTCATTCCCTTCACCTCCTTTCACTCCATCTCTTGTTCTCCTTCACATTTATAAATGGTCTATCTCCCCGTTTCCAATTAACCTTCTTTTATTCAGCTCTAGAAGAGAAACCATACAACATTTAAACTTGTGTGTCTGATTTACTTCATTTAATATTATAGCCTTAAGGTGTATCCATTTTCACATAAATGATTCATTTATCCTTTTTTATTCCAGAATTTCCAAGAAAATATACTTTTTGCATTAAGTTTATTGGTACTTTTTAGGTATACAGTACAGTTATATTCATCATTGAGATCTTGTACCTTTACATGATTTATCTTGGCTCTTATATTTTCCCCATACACCTTCCCTCCCTTCACCCCCTCCACCCATCTCTATTTACAAAGACTCCGTTTCCATTTTTTGTGTTTTTTCTTTTCCTTTCTTACCTTTCCCCTACCCTTCCCACTTCCCCTACTCCTTTAGACCTTTTCTTCCTATTTCACATTATCAATTAGAGCATTTGAACCTTATTTACACTTTTAGTTTTTCACACCAGAGAAACTATTTCGTATTGTCACATATGTGTCCTATTTATTTCACTTAAGAATATGGCCTCAGTATGCATCCATTTACCTATAAATAACTCTTGTTTCTCATTCTTTATGGCTGAGTAGTACTCCATATTATAGAAAAATCACATCTTCTTTATACAGTCTCCAGTTGATGTGCAATTGGGCTGTTTCCAAATTTTAGCTATTACAAACTGTGCCACTATAAACATGGCTGTAACTATATCACTGTGGTATGATTTTGGTTGGGGGTACCGGGGATTGAACTCAGGACCTTGTCCTTGCAAGGTAGGCAGCAGCACCACTGAGCTAAATCTCCAGCATGTGGTATGATTCTTTTAATTCTGTTGGAAAGATACTCAGCAGAGGGATAGCTGGGTCAAATCGAACCTCTAATCCTAGTTTTTTGAGATATCTCCATATTGATTTCCACAGAGGCTGTACCAGTCTGCACTCCCACCAACAATGGAGAAGTGTTCCTTTCTCCCCACAACCCCTGTAGCATTTCTTATTTGTTGATTTCTTGATAGCAGCCAATATTTCTGGAGTGGATGGAACCTTAGAGTTGTTTTCATTTACATTTCTCGAATGAGTAGAGATATTCAATATTTTTTCATATATTTATTACATGCTTTTACTTATTTGTCTGAAAAATGTTCATTTCAGAGGCATGTTTGTGAATCAGGTCTTTATATTTGGGGGAGGTCTGATGGTTTTGAGTTCTTTACATATTCTAGATAGTAAACCTTTGTCTGAGGAACAGCTGGGGAAATTTTTTCCCACTTTGTGGTTTGTCTCTTAGCTCTATTGGTGGTTTCTCTTGCAGTGAAAAACCTTTTTTAATAAGATAAGATCCCAGTTGTTGCTTCTTTATGCTAGCTCCCGTGCTACTGAGAATTTATTCATAAAGTATTTTCCCATGCTACTGTCTTCAAGAGTTCTACCTAACTTATCTTCCAGCAAGTTTAGTGTTTCTCTTTTAATATTTAGATCTGTAATACATTTTGATATTAGTTTAGTGTATGGTGAAAGATAGCAGTCTAGTTTTAATCTTTGGCAAGTTAAAATCTAATTTTTCCAACACCGTTTATTAAAGAAGCTATCTTTCCTCCACCAAGAATGGTTAGCTTCATTTTTCAAAGCTGAGGTAGCTGAGTATGTCTGGAGTTGTTTCTGCATCTTCTAATCTATTCCACTAATCCTCAGGTCTTTTTCTTGCCATGCTGTTTTTATTACAGTGACTTTGTATTATATTTTCAAGTTGGGGATTGTGTTATCCCCTGCCATGTCTCTGTTGCCTAGAATGGCTTTTGCTATTCTAGTTCTCTTCTTGTTCCAAATGAATTTTATGATTCTTTTCTCTAGTTTTGTGAAATATACTGTTGGGATTTCAATTGGGATTGAATTGAATCTGTTTTGGTAGTATGGCCATTTTCATTGTGTTGGTTTTTCCTACCCAGGAGCAAGGGATGTCTTTCCATTTTTCTTAAAACCACTTCAATCTCTCTTTTTTTTTTTTTTTGAGTGCTGTAGTTTTCAATGTAGAGGTCTTTTGCTTCTTTTGTTAGATTGATTCCTAGATATTTCATTTTTTTTGAATCCTATTATGAAAGGAATAGTTTCCCTAATTTCTTTCTCAGTGATTCTGTCATTTGTGTACAAGAAGGCTATTGGTTTTTCAGTGTTGACCTTGCATCCAGCTGCTCTACTGAATCTGTCAATTAAGTCTAGCAGTCTTTTGGTGGAGGTTTTTGTGTCCTCTATGTAGAATATCATATGGTAAGCAAATAATGATAGTTTAACTTCTCCCTTTCCTATCTTTATTGCTTTAGTTTCTTTCTCTTGTCTAACTGCTGTGGCTAATGTTTCCAGAAATATACTAAACAGGAGTGGTGACGCTGCATATCTTTGTCTTGTTCTTGATTTTAGCATGAAGGTTTTCAGTTTTTGACCATTTAATATGATATTGGCTGCTGATTTTTTATAGATCGCCTTTATCAAGTTGTGATAAAGACCATCTATTCCAATTTCCTAAAGGATCTTTATCATGAATGGTTGTTAAATTTTGTTGAATGCTTTTTCTGCATCTATTGAGATGATCATGTTTTTTGTCCTGACTCTGTTAATGTAGTGTATTACATTTATTGATTTACGTATGTTGAAACATTCTTGTATCCCTAGCATAAATCAAACTTGGTCAGTTTCTTCTTGATCTTCTGTATTCTTTTTTTTTTTTTTTTTTGGTTTTTGAGACAGGGTCTCACTATGTAGTTGAGACTGACCTGGAACTCTCTATGTAGCCCTGGCTGGTCTCAAACTCACAACGATCCTCCTGCCTCAGCCTCCCAAGTGCTGGGATTGCAGGAGTGCGCCACCATGCCCAGATTTGATCTTCTGTATTCTGTTTGCCAGTATCTTTTCTTTTTTGTTGTTGTTTTTTGGTACCAGGGATTGAACTCGGGTCCTTGTGCTTGCAAGGCAGGCCACCGAACCACTAAGCTAAATCCCCAGCCCATGTTTGCCAGTATCTTATTGATGATTTTTGCATCTATGTTCATTAGGGAGATTGGCCTATAGCTGTCTTTTTTGGTTGGGTCTTTCCCTGCTTTTGGAATCAAAGTAACATTTGTTTCGCCAGGCGTGGTACTGCATGCCTGGAATCCCAGCACTCGGGTGGCTGAGCCAGGAGGATCACTGAGTTTGAGACCAGCCTGGGCTACATAGTGAGTTCCAGGTGAGTCTCAACTACATAGTGAGACCCTGTCTCAAAAAAAAAAAGTAACACTTGCTTCAAGGAATGAAGTGGGAAATATTGCTTCCTTTTCAATTTCATTGAAGAATTTAAAGAGTAGTGGCAGTAGTTCTTCTCTAAATGTTTTGTAGAATTTAGCATTGAAGCCATCAGAACCTGGGCTTTTCTTCATTGGTAAATTTTTAATTATGTTTTCAATTTCACTTAATGTAATTGGGGTGTTTAGACTTTTTATATCTTCTTTGTTCAACTTTGGAAGTTCATATGTGTCTAGGAATCTGTCCCTTTCTTCTGTATTTTCCATTTTCTTAGAGTATAGGTTTTTGAAGGAAGTATTGATGAACCTCTGGATTTCTGGTGGGTCTTTTGTGGTTTCACCTTTTTCCTTCCTAATTGCATGAATGTGAGCCTTTTCTTTCCATTTTTTGATAAGATTGGCTAAGGGTTTATTGATTTTATTTATTCTTTCTGAAAACCAACTCTTTCATTCATTGATTTTTTTTGTATCGATCTCTTAGTCTCCATTGCATTGATTTCTACTCTGATCTTTATAATTTCTTCCCTTGTACAAGCTTTGGGTTTTTCTTGCACTTCTTTGTCTAGGAGCTT